AGTATAGCATTTCCTCAAAAATTTAAAAACGAAACTTCCATTTGGCCCAGTAATCCCATTTCTAGGACTATATACCAAGAAACCAGAAACACCAATCAGAAAGAATATATGCACCCTTATGTCCATAGCAGCATAATTTACCATAGCTAAGATTTGGAAACAGCCTAAGTGCCCATCAGCAGATGAGTGGATTAGAAAACTGTGACACATCTACACAATGGAATACTATCTACAGTAATAAAAGAGAAAAATAATAATTGACTGTACCTTCGCTATGCCCACAGCCAATCAGAGCGAGTACACAAATTAACCCAACAAAGATGGCAGTTAAATTTCATAAGCAGGCACTGAGTTGCCTGGGTCCCGGAAACATCCTCTGGACCTAGGCCACTCCTAGCCTGTAGGCCCCTGAGTGACAGGGGTCCCAGAATGCCCCATGGCCACTCGGAACCTATGAGTGCAGGCAAGTGGCTGGGGGTGGGGCAGGAAAGTCCCCATGTCACCATAATGCCTTGGGGACATTCCACCCTGCCTGAGCTGCTTGCAAATGCAGCAGTTTGGGTCCACGCCCCCAGCCTGGGGTCTCAGGCTGGCAGCAGCACGTGGACCCAGGCAGAGATCCTCTCCTGGCCCAGCCTGGGTTCTCAGCCACTCTAGTCAGGCAGATATGGAGGAATCTTAAATGTTTCATATATATCTATATATCTCTATATCTATATCTCTATCTCTATATCTATATCTATATCTATATCTATATCTATATATCTATATCTATATCTATATCTATATCTATATCTATAGATATTTTATTGATGTTTTACAGAGAGAAAGTGACGGGGATAGAGAGCTAGAAACATCTATGAGAGAGAAATATCAATCAGCTGCCTTCTGTACAGTCCCCACTGGGTATATGCCCCCAACCAAGGTACATGGCCTTAACTGGAATTAAACCTGGGATCCTTGAGTCTGGAGGCCATTGCTCCATCCACTGAGCCAAACCAGTTAGGGCTGTCCAATATGTTAAAGAAAAAACTCTATCTAATAAAGAGGGAATATGCAGGGGAGGGCATTTGGGGGTAACCGGGCTGTCAGGGGAAGGCAGTTGGGGACAATCAGGCCAGCAGGAGAATGGTTAGGGGGTGATCATGCTGGCAGGCAGAAGCAGTTAGGGGCAATCAGGCAGGCAGGTGAGCAGTTGGGAGCTAATAGTCTAGGATTGTGAGAGGGATGTCCAACTGCCTGTTTAGGCCTGGCAGTTGGACATCCCCTGAGGGATCCAAGATTGGAGAGGGTGCAGTTGGGCTGAGGGACACACATACCCATGCATGAATTTCATGCACCAGGCCTCTAGTGCTGCTATAAAAAAGAAGGAAGTCTTACTATTTGCAAAAGAAGACAGTCAGAGAAAGATAAATATCGTATGATCTCATTCATTTGTAGACTATAATGAACAACATAAACTGATGAACAATAATAGAATCAGAGTCATAGAATCATTGAATAAATTATCCAACCTATGAGAGAAAGCAGAGTGTGAGGAGGTAAGAGATTAACCAAGGATTTGTATGCATGCATATGAGCATAACCAATGAACAGGGGTATGGTGAGGGCATTTGCTGGGGGGTGATGGTGATTGGGAAGAGGTCAATGGAAGGAAAAGGAGAATTATGAAATACTTTGCCAATAAAGAATTTAAATTTAAAAAAAGAGTAAAGTTGGAGGGATCACAATTCCAGATATCAAGTTATACTACAAAGCCACTGTAATCAAAAGAGCCTGGTACTGGCACAAGAACAGGCATATAGATCAAAGGAAAAACACACAAAACAAAACAGAAAGCCCAGAAATCAACCCAAGCAAATATAGCCAATTGATATTTGAAAAAAGAGGCAAGAATATCCAAGGGAGTCAAGATAGTCTCTACAATAAATGGTGTTGGGAAAATTGGACAGATTTATGCAAAAAATGAAACTAGACCACCGACTAACTTATACCAAAACCAGTGGCTTGGTGCACGAAATTCATTAATGGGGGTGTGGAAGGGTGTTCTTCAGCCCAGCCTGCACCCTCTCCAAACTGAGACCCCTCAAAGTATGTCCTACTGCTGGTTGATCTCTTACAGCAATCAGGTCTAAACTAGCAGTCAGACATCCCTCTCACAATCCAGGACTACTGGCTCCAGCAGCTCACCTGCCTGCCTGCCTGCCAACTTTATTGCCCCTAACCACTCTGCCTGCCAGCCTGCTATCCCCCAACTGCCCCCCCGAAGGCAGATCACCCCCAACTGCCTCTCGTGCCAGCCTGCTCATGCGCAACTGCCCTCCTGCTGTCCTGCTCGCCCCCAGCTTCCCTTATCACTGGCCTGTTCAACCTCAACGGGTCTGCTCACTCCAGACTGCCCCCCCTCCCCACTGACCTGATCATCTCCAACTGACCCCCACTGATGGCCTACTCACTCCCAACTGGTCCCCCTGTGGTCTACTTACCCCCAATGGCCCCTGCCATCCCATCCTGGCCAGATTATCCACTGGTGACCCAAGCTCCCACCTTTGCTTTTTTTCTTTTTCTTTTCCTTTTTTTTTTCAGTGCCTCCTTAAGTGAAGGCCAGGGCCAGTTGGAAGCATGTATCCAGGATTTATTTATCTTCTATAATTGAAACTTTGCAGCCTTGAGTGGAGGCCAGGGCCTGCCAGGCTGGGCAGGAAGCTTGGCTTCCTCCATTGCTGGGACAACCCAAGCCTCTTGCTTGTTCCAGCTCTGTGGTGGGCCGCCATATTGGTTGGGTTAATTTGCATACTTGCTCCTGATGGGCTTTTGGGTGTGGCTTGTGGGTGTAGTGGAGTGATGGTTAATTTGCATGTTTCTCTTTTATTACTGTAGATAAGAATAAACTGAAAATTATTATAAAAGACTTAAATATAAATTGTGAAATCATAAAGATCCTAGAAGAAACAATAAGCAAGAAATTCTCAAACATCTCTTGTGGCAATATGTTTGCTGCTACATCTCAAAGGAAACTAAGGAGAAAATAAACAAATGGGACGACTGAAATAAAAAACATCTGCACAGCAAAAGAAATCAACAAAACAAAAAGGGAGCCCACTGTATAATAGAACATATTTGGCAATGATACATCTGATAAGGGGTTAATATCCAAAATATATAAGGAACTCATATAACTTAATAAAAGGGAGACAATCCAATTTTTAAAATGGGCAAAGGACCTAAATACACACTTTTCCAAAGTGAACATACAAATGGCCAAGAGAAATACTAAAAATTCTCAAAGTCACTAATTATCAGAGAGATACAAATTAAAACAACAATAAGTTATCACCTCACAACTGTCAGAATTGCTACCATCAAGAAATTAACAAATGACAAGTGCTAAAGAGGATGTGGAGAAAAGGGAACCCTCCTGCACTGCTGGTGGGAATGTGGACTGGTGCAGCCACTGTGGAAAACAATATGAAATTTCCTCAAAAAATTAAATATGGAACTGTCATTTGAACCAGTGACAAACCTGAAACACCAATCAGAAAGAATATATGTAACCCTATGTTCATAGCAACACAATTTGCGATAGCTAAGATCTAAAAACAGCCCAAGTGCCCATCAGTAAATGAGTGGATAAAAAAGCTGTGGTATATTAATACCATAGAATAATATGCAGCAGTAAAAAAGAAGGATCTCTTATCATTTGAGACCGCATGGAGGGACCTGGAGAATATTATGCTAAGCAAAATAAGCCTATCATAGAAGAATAAGTATCACATGATCTCACTCATTTAATACTATAGAACAAAATAAACTGATGAACAAAATAATTCCAAAGACATAGAAGCATGGAACAGACTGTAGAATTTTAGAGAGAAGGTGGGGGTGGGTGGATGGGAAGAGATTAACCAAATATCTTGTAACCCAGGGATACAAACAATAGCATGGTGAAGGCCTGGGGCATAGAGTGGGTGTGGGCTAGAAGAGGTCAATGGGGAAAAGTGTGTGTGTGTGTGTGTTTTTGTGTGTGTGTGTGTGTGTGTGTGTGTGTGTGAGGCACCTGTAATACATTCCACAATAAAGATAACTTAAAACTAATAAATTAATTAAATCCAAACTTCTTAGTTTAGTTCAAGATCCTCTACATTCAGAGTTCCACATACCTGCCATCATTATCACTCACCACTTGCTTTCTTCTTTTGAAACAAGGTTGATAGAAATTTCTGAACTTTGAGCCTTGCCTTTTTCAACCATGACACTGAGTATACTTTTCCCTATAAATGCACTGTCTTTTATCCTAAACCCTTTTCCATCTTGAAGTCTTCTCCCATGGTTCCACAATGGAAGTGATTTCCCTTTCCTTTAAATTTCTATAGCACAAACCCTTGGTATATCTCATGCATTTTAACCACTGTCCATTAAACTGCAAATGCTTTTGAGAGAAAAACTTTATTCATTATTGTGCCTAGCATGCATTCTTATGAAGAGTGGGTAATCAATACATATTTGTCACTTGAGTTTTATGAAATTAACATGGGTTTTAAAATAAAATTTAAAAGTATAAACAGAAATTATATTCAGTCACTACAAACCAGTATAGTCATACTAAGTTGTAAAATATTTAAATATTTCCCTACCATTGCCCCTTGCCACCTGAATGCTTCCTACTACCATTGGTGGCCCGGTCTCTCTTCCCCTGAAAGCATCTGGACCCCCACAATCTCCCAACTAAACAGTTAATATCTTACACAGCTGGGAACACAAAGGATACTGCTCTAACCATGTGGCCAGAGTCAACTGATGTAAATATCCATTCTAACTGATCTAGACCTGTGCAATGTCACTGTTAAATCTTTTGATAATTATTCTGATTATAAATAAGGTTTAATTATACAATTTGAAAAAAGTGCTTCTCCTCATTGCAAAATTTTTGAAAGAGCAGATTCAGGAATAGACAAGGAAAATGATACTTTGTCAATCCCTAAAGATTTAGGATACATTCATTAGGACTCCATCTTCATGTAAACCAGAAGGTAGGCAGTTTCCCGCCTAGAAAGAAAAAAAATGCAACATCATAGCAGAAATGAAACAATCATATTATTAATTCACAATAGGAAAAAAGCCAACAAACTTTCCAGATTGTTAGATAAAGTGTTTATCTATCCATCACCCTAGAGGAAAACAAAATGTGTGATTTAAGAAAATAACTAATCTGTAGTTAGTTAACATCTAAATCAGGGATTTACAAACTAGAAACCCATTAGTCCAATCTGACAGATAATGTATTTGCAAATATATTTAATTGGAACACAGCTACACTCATTCATTCATATGCCTGCTTTTGACTACAAAGATAGAGTTGAATAGTTGCAACAGAAATTGGGTGGCCCACAAAGCCTAAAATATTTATTCTCTGGCCCTTTATAGAGAACAGTCTGCCAAGTTGTTACTTAAACATTGGGTGAGTTGCTGACAACCAGAAAGTGAACAACTTCAAAGGAGTGGTTATAAGAGAGAAAAGGAACATTGGAGAAGTACTTCAAACACAAATTCTAGCTCATTCATTATTTTTCAAACGATCTGGCCTACTTCTGTAGCTGAAATAATTACAAATATCAACCTAACCTAGAAACTCAGCTGGAAAAACTTATAAAGTCTATGATTTAATTTCACCCAGCTTTTTTATTTCCAGTTTCCTCTCTGTAATTACTGATTTGTAAAAAATAGTTATTGATATTTACTAACACAAGCCACTACACCAGACAAAGAAAGAGTAAATGAGTGATCCTTGTCCCCAAATGTGGTCTATATGAAAGTTACATAAACAAAAATGACAAAACAGTGTGACCCTTTCTATAAAAGAAGTGTGCTCAAAACACAGCGAAAGCATATGAGAAGCCTCTACAGATATATGGCTGGGTAAATAAATGCAAGGCATTAAAAGAATAGGAAAAGGCCATGATCAGAGAGGTACTGAAGTATGGATAGGACTTTGCCTTGATGGTAAGTTATAGAAGATAATACTGACCAGAATTGCATGTGTAAAGCCATGAGGAAAAAAATGGAGGATCTGATGTTTAGGGAGCAACTTCCTCTTAAGTTATTCTTGGAATCTAAACTGTGAGAAAATATGGTGCAATGGGATGGATATTGAAAGATGAGGTTGGCCAGTTAGTCACTGAGGAGTTATGTAAATACTAGAGGCCTGGTGCAAGTGTGTGTGTGTGTGTGTGGAGCCCAGCCTGCTCCGTCTCACAGTCTGGGAGCCCTTAGGTGTGGGAGGTGACACACAATCAGGGGAAGATGACACCCCTGTCACACCTCTGCTGTTGCCACTGCTGGCAGTTACAAGCCGCAGCTGGCCCTGGTTACCTGAGCCTTGGACGGCCCTGGGCAGCTGGGCAGCCACCATCTCAAGCTTGCCTGTACCTTGGGCTGGCCCTGGGAAGCTGGGGGGCTGAGGGTGGGTCCAGCCACACCATGTGCCTGCCGTCCCCAACGGGGCTGAAAGGACTGGGAGACTCTGGTAGGGCTGAGGGGACTAAGTGCTGCCATCTTGTGGCTATGGATCTCACCATCTTTGTGATGGCATGACCATTAATTTGCATGTTCCCTCTTTATTAGCTAGGATAAGGAGTAGTTGAATCCATGAGAGTGTCATACAGCAATAAGAATCCTGTGTAAGCTTATTGGGTTTCCATCACTAACAATTCTCTTACCAGCGACAGTTATGATTTCCATAGGTGCACTGGATATCTTCCCACGAAACCTGGAAGTATATAACATAAAAAGTGAAGCAACCAGCTGACATCTTTGAAGCATCCAGAGTACAGGGTGCTTATCATTCCTTATCACTCCTTCAGACAAACCTATCCCTAAGAACTCCCAAAACCCACAGCACCTAGTGATAAATGCCATATAAATTAAGTCTCTTTTAGTATCATTGTCCCTGTTTACACTTGGTTATGTCCAGCCCAAAGTTCTAACTTCATATTTCCAACTCTTCTTGCTTTCTATAAAATTCCCACAGAGTTTAAGGCACTGAGATTACAACACCAAAAATATAGACATTGAGCTAAGTGGAATCTTAGAGACCATTTGGACACTTCATGCAGAAAACAGCTTTCAGGCTCATAAAAGATCTCACATACAGAGAACAATAATGTGGCTTGCTTGATCTTGAGGACCAATCTAGCCCTGGGCTCAGAATATAGCACAGGTAGCTAATCTAGGGCAAGAGGCAATTTAGATGATGTTTCTCACCCAACAAACACTGGAATCATTGAAGCAGAACCACTTCCCATCTATAGAATTCCGGATATAGGCACAGTAATGACCAAAGTCAGGCAGCCCCACATGGGCAATCACAGCAAAGAGTTCATACAGTCCTTCAAGCTGAAATAACACAAGGCATAAAATGATTCACCCATCATCCTTCTTTTTTAACCCTACTTTAAAATAAGGAAACATTTCATTACTTGTTTATTCAGTGACTACACCATGTTAGGCCTTGGTACTTCAAGGGGATTAGAAAACATTCCTTGACTTCAAGAATTTCACAGCTAAGTAAGGCATAATTAGAATGTCATGTTTTATAACAGATGTATTTACAGATAAATTATGGAAAACTCAACTTTTGCACAAAAAAGGAAAAGGAACAACCAATTGTGGAAAGACTGAGGAGCTTGGGGAAAAGCTCTCCAGAGAAGACATGCTTGAAATGATCTTTCAGAATGAACAAGATTAGTAGATAAGTTATGGAAAGGGGATAGCAAAAAATTTGGACATCCCAATCTTGTCTTCATCAAGATCAAAACAAGGGTCAATGTCCAGAGTTTCTGTTTCATATTAAAACTTTGAAGCTCAGGAGGTCTGTCATGGGCCCTAGGCAGGGTTGCTAAACTTACATGGTTGCTATAAAGATAATATACGAAAGAATGGGTGAGAGCCCATTATTGAGGGAGAAAGATAACTCTTTGTTCCGTTGTGTTATATTTTCTTGGGCTTGGGATGCACCAGGAGCTTTTTCAAAATAAACAATCAACTTCTCAAGCTTTCCCATGCCTGCACTGGGCCTGCTTCCTGACCAATCCATTCTTTCTCCAGGTTAGATGGACAAGCCTCTATGGTCAAGTACCTCTCTTTGCATCATTTTGACTTCCAAGACATGTGCTTATCTCTGCCTTCATTATTCTATCTTTTTCCCCAGTGATCTATGGGAGAACAAATCACTGGTTCCCTGGGAGTGTTGTTTTCAAGCAGAAAAAAAATAAAATTAAGATATACTTTATCAGATACACTGTTGCAAATAAAAATAAAGAAAACTAGGGAAAAAATGAGAATCCTATGAAGTGTATATGACCTGAGTTGATAAAGAAACTATATTATAATATAAGCTTTTTAACATATTATCAGGGCTCAGTATTTAAAATACTAGAGCATGAATAGTGAACAGACTACTGGAACAAAAAAGTTCAGAAATGGTATATACAGCTAAAAACAGAATGTGATAAATGTATAATTTCAAACATATGGAGAAAAGATATCTATGTCCACTTTTTTTCCCTCAGAACTTTCCAATAAATTATTAGCTCAGGACAATTGAATTCAACTTTACTTCGATTAAATTTGGTCCAATGTACTGGCCACTTCCTTATTACCCTCAAAGTGGACATAAGTTGCTTTAAAAAGAAAACTTGGTTGATGTTATATTCACAGCCCATTGTGTTTACTTATGTATAGGTAAGTACTACACATCTTATTAAAAGGAAGGTCCTGAATCATGGGTTCTTTCCCTCAGGTCCCTTCTCCCCATGCTATAAGGTATATGAATACAAACCCAATATTTATAAATATAATTTTTTGAATCTTAAAGAAAAGGAAAGCAGCTATAAAGAGCAAATGAGGGTGGTGATGGCACGGCGATAACTGTTCACCATTATTGTTCAAGAACACACATGTCTCAATCATTAAAATACTATTTTTTAAATTAAGTGTTTCTTGAATATATGAAAATTTTTCTGTTAACTACATCTGGTTGTTGGTGAGTTTTCCTTCCTTTTTTCTATACTAAACATGGACAGCAGAAGACATAGTTTCTGAGATGGGAGAATGACAAAGATGAGACACACCAAAATGCTATTTCTGAGTGTTTAACTTAAAGCAGCCTAGTGAGGTGGGTAAAATCAAAAGGACACAGTATCTAATGAGATGGCAGTAGACAGGAGGGGAGAAGCATGTCACCTGGTACTCAGCATTGCAGAGATCTTTATCACTCAGAAGAAATTGATTTAAATCCAAGCTCTGGGGGAAATACAGTGAATGGCAGATTTTTTCTGTCTGTGAATTCCTGATGGAAAACCGCATCAGGTGGATTGTCAAGGTTTGGGGCAAATGCGTCAGCTTCAAGACCTGCAAAAGCAAAATCACTATGGAGATTGAATCCTAAGGCATTTGAAATGGCTAAATTCAGAGAAATACCACAGCAAAAGGTATGTTAAAAGGGAAGCAGATACATATCCCGTGGATACAGACAACAGTGTGGTGAAGGCCAGGATTAGGGTGGTGGGGGCTGGGTAAAGGTGAGAAAATGGGGAGGAAGGGAATGGGGACATCTGTAATAGTGTAAATAATTGGACAAATAAATAAGTAAATATATAAAATCTTTTCTTTTTTCATAAAATATTTTATTTATTTTTATTTTTTCAAAATTAAATTTTTATTTATTTACTTTTAATTCTTTATTGTTAAAAGTATTACATATGCCTCCTTTTCCCCCCATTGTTTTCTCCCAGCCAGACCTGGCCCCACCCCCAACCCAGGCCTTCAACCCCTATTGTGTGTGTCCATTGGCTATGCTTATATGCATAGAAGTTCTTTGGTTAATCTCTTATCACCCTCCCCCTCGCCCATCCTCCTCTGCCTTCCCTATGAGGTTTGACCATCTGTTCGATGTTTCTATGTCTCTGGATCTATTTTTGTTCATTACTTTATGTTGTTCATTATATTCCACAAATGAGTGAGATGTGGCACTTATCCTTCTCTGACTGGCTTATTTCCCTTAGCATAATGCTCTCCAGATCCATCATACTGTTGCAAATGGTAAGAGTTATTGCTTTTTTATAGCAGCATAGTATTTTATTATGCAAGTTTACCACAGTTTTTTAATCCACTCATCTGCTGATGGCACTTAGGCTGTTTCCAAATCTTTGCTATTGTGAATTGTGCTGCTATTAACCTAGGGGTGCATATATCCTTTCTGATTGGTGTTTCTAGTTCCTTCGGATATATTCCTAGAAGTGAGATTACCAGGTCAAATGGGAGTTCCATTTTTAATTTTTGAGGAAACTCTATACTGTTCTCCACAGAGACTACACCAGTCTGCATGTCCACCAGCAGTGTATGAGCGTTCTTTTTTCTCTGAATCCTCTCCAGTACTTGTTATTGATTTGTTGATGATAGCCATTCTGACGTGTGTGAGGTGGCACCACATTATTTTGCATCTCTGAAATGATCAGTGACTTTGAGCATTTTTTCATATGTCTCTTGGCTTTCTGAATGTCCACTTTCAAAAAAACTGCCTAGTTAGGTTCTTTACCCATTTTTTATTGGATTGCTTATTTTCATTTTGTTAAGTTGTGTGAGTTCCCTATAAATTTTAGAGATTAAACCCTTATTTTAGAGATTAAACCATTGGCAAATATGTTCTCTCATGCAGTGGGCTCTCTTGTTATTTTGTTGATGATTTCTTTTGCTGTGCAAAAGCTTTTTATTTTAATGTAGTCCTATATTGCTATGAGATATGCCTGATATTTTGCTGTCTATCGATTCTTCTTCTTCCATTCCTGTAAGTGTATATTTGAGAGACTGCTTTCTCTGCTATGAGCGTTGTTAAATAAACATAGAAACAGTTTAAACTACTATAATACATGAGCTTGTAAAAAAAAAAAAAAAAAGAGGGAGAGGAGAATGATACAATACAGAGTGAAGGTCCTATTGGCTATCTGTTGAGTTCTCCCGCAGAAGACCTGAGCAGTCTAGGTTCTGTACAGGCCCTGGAATCCAGGGCAACAATAGAATCTGCTTGAGGAGAAAACTCTGCTCTTGCTCTAAGACCTTCTCTTCTTATCCTTAAAGGCTCTGTCCCTCTCAGCGATGTGATCTGAGGAGCCGAATGATCCATGGGCCTAATTAGGAATCCCTCCCTCAATCACCATGAGGTGCCTATGAAGTCTCTTGGGAAATCCTCATGGGGCAACCTAGACTGGGGAAGAATCTGGTTTTACAGAGTGAGTACCTGTTTCCCACAGGTCTTCTTCCCACAGTTCTCACAGAAACATTTGTCCTTGTTCAACAGTTCCCTGGGCTGGAAGAAGCAGTGCAGGGCATCCTCCTGTCCCAGGAGAACAAGAAATAAAACAGGGTTGGTATTTCCCCTCTAGAATACATCCCCTCACCCTGCAGACGGAGATTTAAGTTTTTCTTCTATGTCCACCTTATTGTCTGGCCCAGAGGTCAGGATCTCAAAGAGAACCTACTGATTAGAGAATAAAACAGGAGGGGCACTTGAAAGTGGTAATAGAAGGGGAAATTATTTTTTTGTTAAATCAAAGTAGAACTTAGGCAGAGCCATGCAAAGAAAACAGAAATGACTTTTTAAAAGTCAAGGGTAAGCTAAAAAAAGCCTAATTAGTGAACTAAAGAAGCAAGAAGGTAAAGGGATTAGGCAATACACACACACACACACACACACACACACACACACACACACACGAGCAAAAGCAGGTTTACAGTTGTGAGTACATGAAACAGAGTTTATTCTTGTATTATATATTTTTCATATAAACAACTGTAAACCTACTTTTGCATACACACACACACACACACACACACACTTACAGAAACATATACAACAGTGTGATTATAGAGCGAAACGGGGTGAAGGGTAGGTGGAGGTGGGCAAAAGGGGGAGAATGGGGATGGAAAGAGACTTTGCTTGGGGTGATGGATGCACAATGCAGTGTACAGATGATGTTTTATTGAGTTGTATATTTGTATGGTTTTGTGAACCAATGTCACTCCAATAAATTAATTTAAAAAAAAAAATAATCAAGGGGTATTGGCAACACTGGGTTGTGTGGGAACAGGAAATTCACCAAGAGAAATTCCTTACCACTGTTTTCAGGGGTTTTGAGTCCATATCAAAAAGAGAAAGTGGGAGGGTCAGCATGCTACTGTTTCTGCTATACTCTATGGTACATTCAAGGCAAATAAAGGACTCCTTCATCTGGATTGTATACAGGGCCTGCAGTCTCTCTACCTATAAGACAGAGGAGGGGAGAGATAAGGACACAGAGCCATGAATGGACGTGGTTAGGATAATTTCCAGAAGTGGGAGCCTCGAGATAGAAGCTCCAGAAATGGCAGTCACTAATGTTCTTGCTCTATTTAAAAAGGTACAAAATAATAATATTAATATTACAGAATTGTAATAATCATTTTATAGGATTTCCTCTTTTACTAGTAATATCCACTATACATTACATTAACAATTGCTTAATGAGTTAAATGAGCAGCATCTTAAACTTCTTAGTTCTCTATTTCTAAAATCTTACCAAGTCCACATCAGTGATTTGGCCTTTAATTAGGTTCCATATTGTGAAGTAGAGTTGAGCAGCATCATGCTGGACAAACACTGGCCAAAGAGACAAGAAATAGCCTAATTAGTGAGGTCACCAAGAATACTTTTCATGTCCTTCTGTCCTAGCTATCTAGATGATTATGAGCACTCACCTCTTTGCATTTTCCTAGCCTTTCTCTCATTTTAAGGCTGTTTATAGTGATATGTTAGATGTTAGAAATGGAAAAAAAGGTTGTATTGTTTTTGAGAGTTCCTCTTAAAAATGAAAATCCAAGTTTTCTGTCCTCTGATTTGTTACCCATACCTATTGGCCTCTACTCAGCAACACAACTAGATAAAACCAACAATCAACAGTGGATCCTTTCCTATGTCTACCAGGTATGCCAAAATAATACTCTAATTAGGTTTCTATGGCCACCTATTACTCTGTGCCTTTATGTACTTTTCTTTTTTTTAATATATTTTATTGATTTTCTTACAGAGAGGAAGGGAGAGAGATAGAGAGCTAGAAACATCGATGAGAGAGAAACATCGACCAGCTGCCTCTTGCACACCCCCTACCGGGATGTGCCCGTAACCAATGTTCATGCCCTTGACCGGAATCGAACCTAGGACCTTTCAGTCTGCAGACGTGACGCTCTACCGCTGAGCCAAACCGGTTTCAGCCCTTTATGTACTTTTAATTTATTTATTTTCATTTATTGTTGAAAGTTTTACATATGTCTCCTTTTCCTCCACTGGCTTCTCCCCATCCACTCCCACCCTCAGTACATGCCCTCATCCACCCTCACCCCCCCCCCACCAGTGTCTGTGTTCATTAATCATGCTCATATGCATAGATACAAGTCATTTGGTTGACCTCTTACCTCCTCCCCTCACCCTCCCTTTCCTTCCCTTTGAGGTTTGTTGGTCTGTTTGAGGCATCTATGTATCTGGATATATTTTTGTTCATCACTTTATTTATTATATTCCACAAATGAGTGAGATCATATGATATCTTTCTCCAACTGGCTTATTTCGCTTAGTATAATGCTCTCCATGTACATCCATGCTGTTGCAAATGGTAAGAGTTCTTGCATTTTTATAGTAACATAGTAAGTAGTCAATTTTATAGAGGTACCACAGTTTTTTATCCACTCATCTGCTGATGGGCACTTAGGCTGTTTCCAAATCTTAGCTATTGTAAATTGTGTTGCTATGAAGATAGGGGTACATATATTTTTTTCTTTAGTGTTTCTAATTTCTTGAGATATACTCCTAGAAGTGGGATAACTGGGCCAAATAGGAGTCCCATTGAGGAAACTCCAAAGTGGCTATACCAGTCTGCATTCCCACCTGTAGTGCAGAAAGGTTCCTTTTTCTCCAAATCCTTGCGAGCACTTGTTTGTTGATTTGTTGATGTTAGCCATTCTGGCAAGTGTAAGGTGGTACTCATTGTTGTTTTGATTTGCATCTCTCAAATGATCAGTGACTCTGAGCATTTTTTCATATGTCTCTTGGCCTTCTGAATGTCCATTTTCAAAAAGTGCCTATTTAGGGTCCTTGCCCATTTTAAAAATTAGATTGCTTAACTTTCTTTTGTTAAGTTGTATGAGTTCCCTATAAATTTTAGAGATTAAACCCTTATTAGATGTAACATTGGCAATATGTTCTCCCATGCAATGTATACTTTTGCTTTTTGATGATGGTTTCTTTTGCTGTGCAGATGCTTTTTATTTTGATGTAGTTCTATTTGTTTATTTTCTCCTTAGTTTCCATTATCATAGGAGATGTATCAGTAAATATACAGCTAAGACATATGTCTGATATTTTGCTACCTCTGGATTCTTCTAAAATTTTTATGGTTTCCCATTTTATGTTTAAATCTTTTATCCAATTTGAGTTTATTTTTATGTATGGTATAAATTGTGATCTAGTTTCATTTTTTTTTTTTTTTTACATATATCTGTCCATTGTTCCCAATACCATTTGTTGTTTATTCCATATAAATTTTTGGAGAGTTTGTTCTAGGTCTTCAAAATATGCTGTTGTATTTTAATGGGGATTGCATTGGACTCTGTAGATTGCTTTGGGTAGTATGGATATTATAATGATGTTGATTGTAACAATCCATGAACATGGTATAATCTTCCACTTATTTATATCTTCATCTATCTCTTTTTTCAATGTTCTGTAGCTTTCTGAGTATAGGTCTTTTACCTCCTTAGTGTGGTGAATACATTTTTTTATTATTATCTGTGTACATATTTTACCATTGCCCCTCCCCCCCATCCCATACATACCCTCCCTCCCTAGAGTTTTGTGTACATTGGTTGTACTTATATGCATGTATACAAGCCCTGCGGTTGATCTATTATCTCCCCCAGATCTCCCTACTCTTCCTGCTGTAATTTGACAGTCTGCTTGTTGGTATACTGTCTCTATGTCTATCTTTTGGTTCATCAGTTTATAATGTTCTTTATTATCCACAAATGAGTGAGGTCATGTGGTGTTTCTCTTTCATTGACTGGCTGATTTCACTCAGCATGATGTTCTCCAATTCCATCTAGGTTGCTGCAAATGACGAGAATTCCTTCTTTTTTATGGCAGCATAATATTCCATTGTGTACATGTACCATAGTTTTTCGATCCAATCATCTGCTGACGGGAACCTAGGCTGTTTCCAAATCCTGGCTATTGTAGATTGTGCTGCTATGAACATAGGGGTGCATATATCCTTTCTGATTGGTGTTTCTAGTTTCTTGGGATATATTCCTAGGAGTGGGATTACTGGGTCAAATGGGAGTTCCATTTTCATTTTTTTGAGGAAACTCCATACTGTTCTCCACAGTGGTTGCACCAGTCTGCATTCCCACCAGCAGTGCACGAGGGTTCCTTTTTCTCCGCAACCTCGTCAACACGTGTCGTTTGTTGATTTGTTGATGTTGGCTATTCTGACAGGTGTGAGATGGTACCACAGTGTTGTTTTGATTTGCATCTCTTGGATAATTAGTGACTTTGAGCATGTTTTCATGTGCCTCTTGGCCTTCCTTCTGTCTTCTTTTGAGAAGATTTTATTTAGGTCCATTAGTTTCTCTTTCTATGTGTTCATTATTTGTGCATAAAAATGCCGTAGATATTTGGGTGTTAATTTTACTTTTATATATTTTCTTTATTTCCTCTCCTAAAAATGAATCAGGTTCCCATTACTTGTATCTGACCTAGGTCTTCCCCAACAGTGTCTGAGATAACAAGAAAGAGGGCCATTGCAGTGATAGAATATGCTGGCTAAGAGAAGGCAAGAATGAAGCAGTGAATTCTATATTTTATATAACTAAATATAAAGCTAAAATGGCATATACGGTTCTCCTGGCGGGGGGAGGGGGAGGGAACCTAGGAAGAAAAAAAAATGAAAACACACTGAGGACTATCTTGCAAAAGGACATATATCTGCCAAAAATACAAAGACATTGCAACAAAAGACCATTATTGTAAGTATACTAAATGTAATAGTCATATTTGCTATCTCAATACCATTTTTCCCCTTCATGATACTTATCACAATTTGTACTAAATGTTTGAAGGTTGTTGTTTTATTTTTGTTTTGGCCTTTCCTCTAAATTTTAAACTCCATGGAGCCAAAGACTCATATTACCTTGTCTACAGCACTAGTACAACACCTTGCACATAATAAGTAAATATTATATATTAGTTGAATGGATTAATTCAGCCATATTCTAAGATAATAATCCCAAAACTTAAAGACAAACAGCAAGGTTGAACTGATATTGTCTCCAGAAAATTACTTACTGCCTGTTACAGAGCCAACACTGAATATAAAAGTAGTTGGATGACCTTGCCATGTGGAGACATTTTGCCTTGTCTGACTATACCTAACAATTCAGGGATATTTGCCCAACCGATAATTGACTTAGCACATGCTATGTGCAAGGCATTGTACACACCAAAAAAAGTTCCTGTCCCAAAGAAACCTATAGTCTAGTGGAGGACAAATATTCATATAATCATTATTCAAAGAAGAATAAGGAAATTTCCCCAGGTGTACACACAGTTGTGGAAAGTTAAAGGACAGAGAAAATAAAACAGCAATAGCAGAGTGAGGGTCTCTGTAAATCTACTCCTCCATAGGCAACAAAAATACTGGTTTTAAAAAACTATCAAAATAAATGTTTTCACAACTCTGGAAATTAACTAAAGGTTTACATATATCTTTAAAATGTTTACACAATAAAAAGTACAGAATCTAAGTAAGAAGAGGCTTTTTCAGCTCTTTTCAAGATGGTGATGGAATTGATGGATCTTACTCTGACCTTCTCCCAGAACCACTCTGGAAAGAGAACTAAATTGGGGAACAATCATCATCAATTTCAAACTAAAGACTCTGAAGAAGATACTTAATACCAAGGACTGACAGAAGAAACCACTAAGAGAATGGCAGGGAGGGCAGAGATGCGAAAGGGGCTGGCCTCACAGCCCAATGGGGCAGCAGCTTAATTTATGGAGGGATAGCTCAATTGTGGGCAGTTCCCCCTGAGAGGTGTGAAGCTTAAACTCCAGAATGGGGTCCCAAATAGAGCATGAGAAGCAGGAACAGATGCCCACATATTATCTGACTATGAAATTCTGGCAGTGTTTCTGTTTGCCAAGGAAAGGTGGAACCCACTGGAGATAAAGGCACCCTCTTAAAGGGCTAACACAAAATTTTGTTTGCCTCTACTCACCCTGGACTCAAGCAGAGATAGTACAGTGCAGACTGGAATCAGTTGAGGAGAATCTGAGGTTTGTGGTTTTGGGGAGAAATGTATGGGGCATACCCAACAGGATCCCTGTACTGAGTCATCCTCCAATCCTGCAGGAGCCATCTTTCTTAGGTGGAGCAATCCTCACTGAGAGGAATCAGCCTGGGGAAAAGCTACTACACACCTTTAGCAATCCCTCTCATACCACCTTGTAGGTCTTAAGCTCTGATGAAGAGTCAGTAGCATTGGCCAGGGTGTACAGACTCAGGGAAGGGGTCAGTGACTGGCTTTTGGGTGGAGCCATTCCCCCCAATT